GACCTCTAGCCGGCACTCACATGCGGTGAGACGCCCTAGTCGAGATCAGAGCTGCCGGAGCAGGCTGGCTGGGCTTGTACATCGCAGTGCATGTTTCCACATTTCCCTTGTCCTGCTCAGTCAGAACGCTGCTGCTGTGGCATGGCACTTCTGCACCCCTACGGAGGCATTGTCTTGGCGCCCTGGTCTAGTTCAGCTGGTATTGGGGTTCTGCTGGAAAGACGTGTAATTGAGGAATGGGTACAGGAGTCAAAACAGCTTGTTCCTGGGAGAAATTCAGCCTTTGAGACTTCAGCCCATGAGTGACTGACTTGAAAACCATACTTGTAGAATCACAGAGCACTAGAACTGGAAGGGCCTTGAGGGCATCAAGTCCAGTCCCTTGCCCTCATGGCAGGACCAAGCACCGTCTTGATCATCCTTGACAGGTGTCTGTCCCGCTCTTAAGTATCTCCAGTGATGGAGATTCCACAACCCCCCTAAGCAATTTATTCCAGTGTTTCACCACCCTGACAGGAAGTTTTTCCTAATGTCCAACCTAAACCTCACTTGCTGCAGTTTAAGCCCATTGCTTCTTGTCCAGAAGCCAAGGAGAACAATTTTTCTCCCTCCTCCTTATGACACCCTTTTAGATACTTGAAAACTGCTGTCATGCCCCCGCTGTCTTCTCTTTTCCAAACTAAACAAGCCCAGTTCTTTCTGTCTTCCCTCAGAGCTCATGTTCTCTAGACCTTTAATCATTCTTGTTGCTCTTCTCTGGACCTTCTCCAATTTCTCCACATCTTTCTTGCAAAGTGGTGCCCAGAACTGGACAACTGAGGCCTAGTCAACGCAGAGTAGAGCAAAAGAATGACTCCTCGTGTCTTGCTCACCACACTCCTGTTAAGCTTAGAATCAGTTGTGCCAAGGGCACCATTTGGGAGGTGGGGAGCTACAGCCATATGTACCAGGACATTACTTGCTCCTTTTCCCATTTCCCTGGCTATAGGGAGTGAGGGGAAAGTACTGAGCTTGCATGCATTCCTCTTGAGGGGTGGGGGTGGGCAGAAGAATAATTCATGCAAGCTGTGTACTTTCCCTAACTCCCTGATGGTGGGCAGGGGGATGGGAAGAAGAGCACACGGCATCTCAGTTCGCACAGCCCTCCCAAAACGGTGTCCTGGCGTCTGTGTGTGTGTGTGTGTGTGTGTGTGTGTGTGTGTGTGTGTGTGTCTCTCTCTCTCTCTCTCACACACTTTTTTAAGGTGGGAGATTGTACATGTGAGCTTGATGCACGTGGCCATGTTTCAGTGCTCAGGGTAGAAAAACTAGTTTGATTTTGAAAAAGCGAAAACAGGGACGAGATTAGTTCTTTACTGTGGCTTAAAGCAGCAGTGTTAGATGGTAATAGAGGTAGCCATGTTAGTATGATCTTGCTAAAACAAAAGGAAAAACTATGTAGCACTTTAAAGACTAACAAGATGGTTTAATAGATGGGTAAGTCTAGACTGGCCTCTTCCTAGCTGTGCCAGGTGACGCAAAGTGGGTGGCACGTAGCAAGAAGCAGTTGTTAAGGACAGTACTTGAGCAGGCAAGCCAGAGTTTGGAGTTAATTTCCCCACTCACAAATAGGATTGTCTTCGTCCCCATTTCTAGAGGAGCCGTGTGACACGCAGGGACACGCAGACCCCACCAACCCTCATTTAACTGGTTAAGTGGTTAAACATGCCATTGAACTGGTTAACTGATTAAATGGGATTTTGTTACAGAGAATAGGGACGCAGCTCACACTGACTCTTACTTTCCCATGGGACTGGCAAGTCACAGGATTCTTCAGAGGTGCTTGTTTGGGGCATTGGTGACCTTTCAGCTTGATGTGTGGGGGGAGAACCTATAGCTTTTGCATTGCAAATGAACAAGATTTTTCTAGATTTCAGTCAGACTCTTGGTGTGCTATTTAATGTGTGTACCATACGCTCCCATATCTAGGTGTAGGAAGATCCTTGTTCCCTTAAAAGCAATGGGATACAAGGATTCTCACACGCTGGCAAGCTTCGGATGCGTGGGGGTGCGGCAGTACAGAAAGCCACAGTTGTGTGTTTACTGTGCCTGCAGTGATCTTCGTGGCCGTTCAGGACAAGTGAAGCGTGGGAGCTGAGACCAGTCAGCTGAGCACGGTAGAATGGACGGGGGGGAGTGGGCAGTCAAGATTTCCACTGAGTTTTTTGCATCAGCTCTCCAGGTTTTCTGGTAGTAGAGATTAGTTAACATTCAGTCCAGTATTACATACAGACTGCTTGTAAATCATTGGGCTCGTAACTGGCAAATCGCAGTTAAGTACTAGGAATGTGAATGATTAACCAGTTAACTGGTCAGCATCCCCCTTACCAGGTGATGCTTACTGGTTATGGTTAACCCAGCCAGCCAGAGCAGCCCCCACCAACCCCCATTTAACTGGTTAAGCGGTTAAACATGCCATTTAACTGATTAAATGGGATTTTACGTTACAGAGAATAGGGACACAGCTCACACTGACTTACTGTTGCACGTGGGATCTTTTGGGCTTCGCTGGCTTGCTGCTGCGCTCTCGCTCGTGCATGGAGAAAGGCCATTGAAATAAACCATTGCACCTTTACTGGGCCAGCAGGACTTTCCAGCTTAGACACAGGTGGGGTTTTGCAGATGCATGAAAATGTCACCTTTTCGAGGTTTACACGGGTTCTCCTCCCTGACTTGTGTTAAAATGGCCTTCCTCTGAGTGACCAGCTCGCCCTCCTGCCAGAGTTGTGTTGCTTTGTGTAGTGAGCTTGTCAGGCCTGCGGGACATGAGATGAGGGCGCTTTGTGCTCCATTCCAGGGGCCGCGCCTGATTTAGGTCGTGTTTTGTATTTGTACCTTTTAGTTCTTTTCCCAGAGAGAGGCTGGTTCTAATTGGCTGGTAACCATTAAAACGTGCCGTTTGCCGCTAAATACAGCCTTTGCATTAACTTGGGTGCTCTGCTATCATCAAGTTACGGCATTTCCATGCAGACTTATTTAAGCAAGTCTGTAACTTTATTTATATTATTCAGAATCTAATATAAACATTAAGTGGTTAATGATTTTCTTAAATTAAATGCATAAAACATTATTTTTTTTAGGAAATAAAACCCGGTGAAGTGTTGCATGCTTGAATTTTTGATAACCATATTTTCTTCTCAAAACATGGTGCACTTAAAACTAACTGCATCATTAAAAAGAAGTATTATCTGCAGGTAATGATTGTTTCTGGTAACCGTGTCTTTCGAGCTTATAGAGCTGGTAGAGCTCAGCGTCACACCTAGTTTTCATTCACAGACTAAAGAGCAAAACAAGCATTTCTGCTTTCGGCTTCCAGGTGGCTACTTCCCTCTGACTGACCTGGCCACTGAATGAGGAGCATAGGATGAAAGCAGGGTTAGGGCTAAGCTGCAGAGTGTGTAGTGGAGCCTTGGCACAGCTGAGGCTGTAGCGCTGCTCAGGCAGATGCATGTGCTAAGCAGACAGAGGAGAGCTCTCCCCTTGACTGGCAGTGATGGGCTGCCCTAGAAGTGAGGGAGACGGTGGGAATGGTCTCGTGTTAACCTTTTTTGGTAAGATGCAGCTTTGTCGCTGTCCGTGCATCACGTGCTGTGCAGACTAAGGGGGTATCTTGGCTGAAAGCAGCCGACCACAGAAAGGGGACACTAGGCAGGAGAGTCTTCTCTTTGGGGAGGGAGAGCTTTGTTCCTCTGTTGCTGGCCTGAGACTTGGCATCTCTTTGCTTGGAGAGTCTTTCTCCAAAGACTAAAGGTCCCGCACTCAGCCAGCACAGCCCTTCCCATGGTGTTCCCAGCCCCCTGCTCTTCTCTGCCCCAGCCCAGAGCAACCAGATCGGCCTTGCATGGCCCCAGTATGTTCCAGGAGCATGGAGGGGCCAAGCGGGACAGCCTCCCTCCTGGCCCAGCCCACTCCCAGCTGGCTTCTGCAGGGAAGGTCCAAGAGGCAGAAACCCTCAGTTCAGCTACTGAACGAGAGTGGGATGAAGCACTAACCCTATTAAAACTATTGGTAAAAATGGTCAAACTTAGTCAAGTGATGGCGTTTGGGGCCTCCTTGCTCCAAGCGAGGCCTTCGTGGGCTTCACACAAGGCGAGTGTGCTGTGTGTCTGCCATGGCACATGGACTGTGGGACCATAGCAGGGTGCCCCTCAACCCCTGCTCATAACTCGTGGGCAGACCCCACGTGGGTTAGAACCATGTGATAGACCCGTTCCTAGAGGAAAGCAAACGTGACCCATAGACAGTTGGCACCTGCCCCAGGGACCTGTGCTGGCAGGGGCGTGTTGGGCTCTGCACCCTGGACTGGCTGCTCTGTGCTGGTCAGGCTGCCACAGAGCAGTGTTGCAGTGTAGACATGGGTCCTGGCTTGTTTCCTACCAAACATGCCCTGCTTCTGCCAAGAAACCGGCTGGGAGACTTCTCAGGAAAGCCCAAGTACCTCGTGGAGGAAGGGGTTGAGCCTCCCTGTCCTGTGCTGAACGCCTTTCAGGCCAAGACCTCAGCTGTAGCAGCCAGCAGCTTTGTCCCTGGGCTCCGTTAGTGTGGCGCTCCAGCTCCACTCCCTGTTCTTGGCCCCCGAGGGACTGAAGCCCCCTTTCCCCTCCCCCTTGTCTGTTGGGTGCATTCCTACCCGTAGTGCGTAGGGGAAACCCAGGCATGGAGTGCGCCAGGTTGCATGAGGCTGGGATAAAAGCCTCCTTCACTGCGCCTGTGGGCTGACTTGCCCAGCAGAACAGGAGGCCGGCCCCCTGTGTGCCAGGTCCATGGGGCGCCAGTGCCCAGTAGAGTGGCAGGGCCCAGTGGCTTGGGGGAGAAAAGGGGAAGACTGCTAGCGACTGTGCCGGAGCTTGGGTCTTCCCAGGTTATCCGGCTGCAAAGAGCGCCTCTGGTCAGTCAGGAGACTCGTGCTTGGCTGCTTTTCCTCCCTGTTACTGACCCTGCTTTCATGTCTCTCCCCCCAGGATGGACAGAATGACGGAGGATGCGCTGCGCCTGAACCTCCTCAAACGCAGCTTGGACCAAACAGACGACCGGGATGACGTCCTGGCAAAGAGGCTGAAAATGGAGGGGCATGAGGCCATGGAGCGCCTCAAGATGCTGGCGCTGCTGAAGAGGAAGGATCTTTCGGGCCTCGAGGTGCCCCATGAGCTCCCGGTGAAGCAGGATGGCGTCAAAGTCTATGAGGAGAAACTGAATGGGAGCCTGAGGCCCCATGCGGATGGGAGGACTGCAGGGCGGGCAGGCAAGGAGAACATTAATGACGAGCCGGTGGACATGAGCGCCAGGAGAAGGTAGGCCGCTGCTTGCTGGAGTTCGTCCATTACACCTGGGCGCAGACTTCTGTCGACCTTCCACTCAGCCAGGTGTGAGGCCCCGGTCACAGGAATTAGAGCAGCATGTAGTGGGGCAGCCTGGCGCTCTTCTGTGGGATCTGAACGGCTGCCTGTGAACTCTGCCAGGCTCAGCTAGGACCCGGCACAGGGTTTCTGGGCATGTAGCATGTTCTCCCGCTCTCAAGAAGCCTCTGCACACTGTGTGTTGTCCCCTCCCATCCCAACACACCGGTGGGTTTTGTTCCTTGACTGATCCGTTTGGATATAGGGTATAAACTACAGCAGTAACATGGCTGGCTGAGCAGACGCCTGTCTGTGTGCCTTTAATCAAACAGTCCCACTCCATTTAGTCTTTTATTAGCTCCTACAAAAGTGACAAGTAAAGCCTTCTATTTAGCTGAAGGTAAAGTGTGGTAAGTGCACGGCCAATCAATCTTGACCCTAACCTTGGAGAGACTGGTAACTCCAGGAGTAAGAAGGTAATTGTTTTCTTGGCAGGGCCTTAGACAGCATGGGAAAAGGTTATCAGTGGCCGGTGAGTTACATCCCTTTTCGGGGGGGGGTGCTGCTTGGGCACATGCGCAGTGCCTGCCTGCTAGGTTTGCTGCAGCTGGGCTCCAGTTACTGACTTCTCCTCAGGCATCCCCTGAGATGGGCTGGTGGTAAATATTAAGGAAGTTTGATGTGAACTAGGAGAGGCTGTAACACCACACAGCGAAGATCACCTTTATTTCTGGGGCTGTTCATGGCTCTGACGTTCTGTATTCTGGTTTGGATGCTCTGAAGAAGTGGGTTGTACCCACGAACGCTCACGATACCATCTACGTGTCGTGTTAGTCTTTAAGGTGCTACTAGTCTATTCATTTGTTAAAGTTTTTCCGGTTAACTCTTTGTTTGACGAGTCTGGCCAAGACACTGAAAAGGAGACTGTTGCGTCAAGAGTAGGTTGCTCAGACCTGTTGGTGAGACGTTTTCACGCTCAGTGGACTTTCAAGTTGTTCCGTCTGACACTTAACTGTGAACTCACGGTGGTCCTTGTGCAGAGTGCTGCTTGCTGGCTTAACAAATCCACTGCTGGGTGTCAGTCATGTCGTTTTTAGTTGAAGTGGTACTAGGGATGTAATAGTGTTCTGACCTTCCCATTGTGAGTTCAAAGCAACTGGTTTGTGATTGAGCAAAATCCTGCCTGAGCTACTGGTGCCCAGGTACATTTGTTCAGTGAGTTTTTGTCTGAAGAGAGAACGCTGGAGTTAAGGAAGCTCCTCCATTTTTCACGGTAGCTGGTGTGCAGGGTTGGGGGAGGCTTCACGTGTCTTCCAGGCCTCCGCTTGCTGTTACAGTAAGTGGGTGATGCCAGTGGAATGTGTACTACTCAAGCACGTGTCTCAACACATGGGTTTATCAGTCACATTCTGACATGCAAAGAGCAAGGAGGCCTGAGACGCCCCTAGCAGGCGGGGGAGAGTCTTTCTAAGGCACATTTGCCTGGATTATGCCCTTTTGGCTGGCAGTGACCCCTCCCGTGCGTTCCATCTCATCCGCTGCCTCTGACTTGGTTTCCTTTATCTCAAAGACGCTCACGTGGGGAGAAGGGGAAATGTTGCTGCCATCGCAAAGTATCTGGATCCAGCAGTATTGTCAGCACAAGGAGCTCTTCTGTGGAGCAGTGTGGTGGCGCACTTGCTGGGGTTTCTGCTGCGGGGGCCCTCGCAATCCCACTACTTCTGTGAAGAATTGTCTAATGCATGGGGTGAGCCGCACAAACCCGGGGCTTGGCCTGACCTGTGGCACAAGCAAGTGGTAGAGCCCCTCTGGTCTGAAGTTACCATTAGCCAGTCAGGGTCATGTGGGTTATCTTTGGGGTGAGACTGCATGGCCCCATGCAAAGGGACCCGCCAGTCGGAAGCGTTCATCCCAGCCTGCTGACCTGTCTGCCCTGCAGCCTTGGGCAGCTCGCCCCGTTTGCGACACATGGGTCATGTTGTACATACTGAAGGCTGAGTACAGATGCGCCGTGTCCTAGGAGTAGTAAGGCTCTGTATGGTGCATTCTCAGGGGTTGGTAATTGGTGTGTCCTGTCCCAGTCAGACTGGCCCTCTGGTTGTGGTGGCATGGTCAGAGAATGGTTCTCTCCTTCGGAGTCTGTCCCGCCTCTGTGGGGAAGGGAAAGGAATTTAGTGGGTATGAAGATGAGCCAGCCAAGCGCTAGAAGGGAACCAAACCAGCCATAACCACCCAGTAGGTAGGCATGGCGTTGTCTCATTACGTTTAGTTTCTCCCAAGGATGTGTGTTGCCTGAAGAGGGGAAGATAACCAGAGAGAGAGAGAGAGAGAGAGAGAGACTTCAGAAGTAAACACTGATGAATCAAACCGAAGCGGCCCTAAAGAGGAAGGGAGAAAATATTCCAAAAATGTCAGTATAGCTCAGGAAAACCCAGACTCGGTAGCAGTAGAAGTATGTCTGCTATTCAGTCCCTCTCCTGCTGGAAAGAGCAAGGGCTAGCTTGGGAAGGCCTGTTTCACCCGCCTCCCGCTTGGCCTGGCTCTTGCGGGCCCAGTGCTGCATCTCGTCCAGTAGCTTTGTTGTTGTTCTGCTCATGTCTTGACAAAAGTCAATCACAAGTGGACACATTTTGCGCTTCTTTACAGAAGGCCCCTTTTCCCCCGTCTGGCTTTCGCACTGGTATTTGTCAGTGGAATGTAAATTAAACCCACTAGTCCCATCTGAACAGTATCTGCCATCTGAATTTCAGAGACTTTCAACTGGTGCTTTCTGATCAGTTGGCATGTGCCAGGGTGCAAAGTGGAGGCCAAAGCCGTGAGGGGTTACAGCCTCCTGGAGCAAGCAAAGCAGCTACAGTTATCAGGAGGAAAGCAGCAATGTCTTGTGATGAATGGATGTTCTGAGCTGTCTTTAACAGGCTCACTCTGCACCTGAGCACAGAGCACCTGAGCTGTCTGAGGGCTGTTCTCGGTCTGAAATAGCACAGGTGTGAATTCAGATCTGTTTATAATGAGGAGGGTATTGGCTACTGACTCAAGCTCTTCATTCCAAAATAAGAGCATCCCTGCACAGGCTTGCATCCAGATACTGACATTGGTTTTAGAGAGCTGCTTTGGGCACAGTGGCGCAAGCTTGTGTGCAGCGCTGCCCTGGTGGTCAAGAGCCAGGACAGACCATATTGGGAAAGTTCGTATAGGTTGTACCTCCCTCGTCCAGCACCCTCGAGACTGACTGGTCCCGAACGAGGGGAGGTACCTCCCAACATGGCCCGTGCTGCCCCCAGCTAGGACTCCAGCCAAGCCCCGTGGCTGCCGCGATTCTGCAGCCACTGCCGGTCCCCTGCAACCACCCAGCGGTAGGGGCCAGAACTCCCTGTTGCGCCCCCCCCTTCCCCTCAACATGGGGCTCCTGGCTGTGTCACGTCCCCTCCTGCCCTGTGGCCCAACCTCTTTGTACCTGGAATCTGTGGTCCTACCGGACACAGAGTCCCGGTTAAGGGAGGTACAAGCTGTCCCAATATCTAGGCTAGTTCTCAACACGAGAGTTGAGATGCCTCTTACTTTTCACCTCTGACATCCCACGTAGGCACAAGAGCCTCGCAGTCACAACTAGATCGGCCAAGGGCTGATGTACGCTAACAGGAAATGTTCACCCTCCCTTAGTCCAAATGAAAAGTGCAACCACTCTTCCTCAGTCGCCGGGTGTGGGCATTCTCATTCCAGAGTGTGCTACAGGTTGCACCTCCCAAATCCGGGATTCTCTTGTCTGGCACATCCGTGCTCCGGCATGTCCCCGGATTTTCCTGGATCAGAGTCTCAGGGCAGGAGGGCCAGCAGCTGGGAGTGCGGTGCAGCCATGCGAGTCTGCAAGCAGTGGGGCCAAAGCAGCCTGGGCGGAGTGCAGTCCGGACTGTCTGCCTCCCGGCAGCGGGGCCAGGGCCACAGCAGCCCGAGAGGGGAAGCCAGCCACGGCAGCCCCACAGAATCAGCACGGGCAATGTGCCAGTTGGAAGTGGGGCTGGGGCTGCTTGCCAGCAGTGGTCCTGGGGCTGGCCCACAGACAGCCCGGCTGGGCTGAAGGAGCCGGCAGTGGGGCTTGTTGGGACCTTCCCATTGGCCAGCAGATTCCATCCTCCAGGGCCAGGCAGGTCCCAAGGGTGCCGGACTAGAGAGGTCCAACCTGTAGTTCAGTCTCCTGCTTTTTACCGTGAAGATAGCCTGAAAGGACGCACCAGAGAGCAATAGAAACACAAGCTGCATGGTGCTGAGCGCCTTTGGGCTGTGCTGGCTGAATGGCAGAGGCTTCCCCCTCCTCTCCCCCGCCAGAGCGGATGAAGTTTAAATGGAGTGAGGCACACTCAGTCCAGAATAAGAGCGTGCACACATGGAGCTAAGAGCAGCCTCGCTGCGTCAGGCCAAGATCCATCTAGCTCGCTGTCCTGGCAGTGGCCAGTGCCAGGTGCTGCAATGGCTCCTTATGGAGCCAAGCTCTGATGCCCAGGTGCCTAATAGCATGGGGCTAGGTATGTGTGGAAGCTAGTGGCCCTTTTCCGCAGGGCTCCACTACACTGGCTCAGAGCGCTCACCCGTGACAGCTGCGTGCGTCTCCTGCTGCTGCGCCAGAGCCTCTGCTGCAGCTGGCGAAACTTGAACCCCTGTCCGGGACAGATGGTGGCCGCCAGATGTGCTAGCTGTGCTGGGCCCCAGCCGCCAATTGCGCTGATAGGAGACAGTAAGCCAGAGGACTAGGGCAGGCTGAAATTGAGTCATGGTAAGCAAGGAGCCCAGCTCCAAGGTGCCCCGGAGAGCCCCCCAGGAGATGAGCCGCCAGTGGGCCAGCAGCGTAGACCCGAGGGTTCTGCTGTAACGTAAGGCACAGCAGGTGGTGAAGTAAGCCAGACCGGACCTCAGCACGGGCCCTGTGCCCAGTGTGCGAGAACCAGAGCTTCGAGAGCCTCGCTCTGAACTCGGACGAGCCTGTTATAACATGGAGCTATGTTGTCCCACGCTTCCTCCTTCGTTCTCTGGCGCCTTCGAGCTGCAGTGACCCCCAGGCCTGTGTCTGCCTGGGGTGCCAGTTTGTGCTGTGTTGTACTGTAACCACTTAAGCTGCTGATCCTGGGCTGTCTCTTCCATCCCCTTGCAAGGGAGGAGATCCCCAGGGGAAACGGAGGCACAGTCCCTTCCTAAGCCCACAGAGTGCTGGCATTTGGGTGAAGAGCTCCAGGGTCCTGGGCCTGTGATTAAGCTGCGTTGTCTGTTTCTCCTGTAATAGGGATGTTGTTCTATCCGTTGTACAGTGCCATAGTCATATGACGCTGTAAGCACAGAATGGCCCACCAAGAGGGTGTTGATTGCCATTGTGATCTGAGTCCGTAAGATCTTGCATAGTAATGTCCCTGTTCTTACAGGGTCAGCAAACTGCTTGTGTGGCTTCCTGATTTCGAGGGAGCGGTGCTGGGGGTGTTTCTCTAGAGGCACAGCCATCCGTGAACTGCCAGTCAGAACTTCGGCGTGTGCTGTCTGATCAGTAAGACGGCCGTGTCCCCAGGAGCCCATCAGCTGGCCTTATGGCTAGCGAGGCGGGCGTGTTGTGGTAACCGATCACACAGTGACCCAGCCTGAGCTGGCGGCTGCGCACCAAGACGTGGCAAATGCTGACCTTGTTACTTGGGTTGTCGGGCATTGCCAAGCTGGGCCGAGGTGAGACCCTGGCAGTAGCTCCACCGTGTCTCAAAGGGAGAGCGGGACTGACCCTCCCTCAGACCAGTCCAGTTGTTTGGGGAGAACAGCTGGGGGGTTACGTCCACTTCTTGTAGGCAGGAGAGATGGCTGTGCCCCTTCCTTTCCCTTCCCTTGATACCGGCTCTTCACTAGTTAGCATCCTGACTTGGGGGTGGTTTTTGCAAGCCACACCAAGCCCATTACATTGAATTGGTGCAGCTTTTATTGTAACCACCTTATTCCAAATGATGTCACAAAGAATGCAACAGTGCCTGGTTACCACTGGATTATAGCATTGATTTCCTAGCGACAGGCTTCTGGAGCTGCTCTTCCTTTCGGTTATTGGTTTTATTGACTCGGGGCAGGATACTGTTATCTGGCTTTTCCTTTATGGCCTTTTACAAACAGATGGGTGTGAATATAGGTTTGGGGTATTTACATGTGTCTTAAACGTCGAGCGCTTTCCCCTTAGCATCTCCCGCATCATGTGAGTAGCAGCGACGTCCTCCGTATCTCTGCGTAACAGGTGACTGTGTCTGTGTCCAGCGCCTCAGCATCTTTCCATTTCCCTGTGTGGTTCATGTTTAGCTCCTTAACAACGTGTACATGTCTGTCTCAGACACGGCCTCTGTGGGAACCGAGTCCCTAGAGACACCTGGGACTGAAGAACGCATTTGGAGTGAATCCTTGAATCTGAAGTGTAACGTGTGAGCAGAGAGCCCTCGAAGCCAGTGGTTTGTGCTGCGTCCCATGAGCCCTCGTGTTTGGAACTCGAATGGTTCTGTCGGGGGGGTTACTCCGGCCATGGATTCCTAAATCTCTCTGCCTTCGGGAGAGCCCGGCAGTTCAACCTTCTCGTTTCTCTCTGCAGTGACCAGGACAGGGGCCGACTGACCCCCTCACCAGATATCATCGTCCTCTCCGATAATGAGGCATCAAGCCCACGTTCCAGCTCCCGCATGGAAGAGAGACTCAAGGCAGCAAACCTTGAAATGTTTAAGGTAAGAAGCATCCAGCTGACGTCCTGGGGAGCCGAAGTCTTGTGCAATAAAGAGCCCTGCAGTGGGAAGGGAAGGGGCAAGGTCTTAGAGCTGGGAGTCACAGGGGGAGAGTGGGCAATGCAGTGATGTTGAGGGGACTCGCCCCAAGGGTCCCTCTTGGTACAGCACAACATTGCTAACCCTCACTATGGGTCTCTTGCTGCCAAAGGGTAACCCGTGCGTCCTATGTGCTTCTCGGTCTGTGCAGGGCAAAGGCATAGAGGAGCGGCAGCAGCTGATCAAACAGCTCCGGGATGAGCTGCGGCTGGAAGAGGCCAGGCTGGTGTTACTGAAGAAACTGAGGCAAAGCCAGCTGCAAAAGGAGAATGTTGTCCAGAAGGTGAGGTTCCGGGAGGCGGGTGGGTGCTCAGTCAGGCCTGTGGGGTGCGTGGGAAGGCCAAACGTGTCTCTTGGGATGCCCATGTTCGTTACTCCTTTATTTCACACGGGCGTCCTGTCAGTGCCTGTCCCAGAGCCTCGGCCATCTGTCCCGTGAAGCCAGCTCCTCGTCCCTGAGACCAGCAGAAGATAAATCTAGGTCACTGGGAAGTGTTAGGATCTGATTTAGCATCCTCAGGGTTGCTCCGGGATCAGTCCATTTGTGCGTTTCCTTTTGTAAGTGCTCTGCAGTGACACTGGCATTTTCTGTCTCCATCTAGACTCCAGTTGTGCAGAATGCTGCCTCTATTGTCCAGCCATCTCCTGCCCATGTGGGACAGCAGGGACTGTCCAAGCTTCCCTCCAGGCCTGGAGCTCAGGGGGTTGAGCCTCAGAATTTAAGAACATTACAGGTAAACATCATTGAGAGAACTCTCCCTGCTGTCAGGGGCGTCCAAGACTGTCCAGGCTCAGGATTAAAACCCTCTTCCCCACAGACAGTGCTTCCTCCAAAAGCCAGGAAGTTCTTCGCACATTTCTCTCCGTTCTGCAGATGAGATGGCTTTCCCAGTAAATAACATGGGCACCGCTGAATCCCATGACTAGCACTGCCTGGGCTCCTGGGGTGTGGTCGCCAAACGAGGGAAGCCAGTGCAGTGAGTGCTCTCGGACCAGATAACTAGACTAGACGGCAGTTCCTGCCTTGTATTCTGTGTGGGACTGGCTCTTGAAAGAAGCTGGGGGAGATGATTTTTCTGTCCTGAATGATTTCAAATGTCTAAAAGCTTCAGCGGGGTCATTGGAATTTAACTTCCTGGACAAGTTTGGGTCCTATCACAAAGGTATGACTAAAAACCTTCCACAGCCTAACGACTTAGCCAACCAATGGGCACTTAAGAACAATCGGCGGCTCCTCTATCAGCTTCATGTAATGTGAATGCCCCCCCCCCCCCCCCCCCCCCCGGGTTTTTGTAAGTGGGTTTTGAAATC